GATACTTATATATACATATATATATATATATATTTTTTGAATATATATATTAATATATATATATATATATATATATATATTAATATATGTGTATATCATCACGGTACTAAAGCTCTTTTGTTTGCTTTGTAATTAGATGAGGCAGACCCATGTAGTTGGTTGACTGTTTCTCTCACACCACTTTTCAGTGTATTTTTTTCATCTTTCAATTAATTTGACATAAACATACATTTTCTTACAGTAGACATCGAGACACAAAAATGTTTCTTTTTTAATAATTCACGAGTCTCTTTTGTTAAACGTATATAGATTATTTCTTTATTATCATCTTCATTGAAGTTGTGTACTTACCTGCTTGTTACATTGGGGGTATTCATTTTAGACTTACACTCTTTATCTGCGTAAATGAATCCTAGCTAGATCGAGCTGACCTGGTGGCAAGAATTTACTAATCTAGTTTCAAGCACAATGTCACCGATCTTAATTGTGTATAAGCTAATAGTATTTAAGAAAAGTAATACATTTTACATTTGTAGGTCAAAGAAAAAGTAAAAACTACTCTCAGAAAAAATTTAAAAAAAAAATCGTCCAAAAGTAGCTGGCGTCAAATTTCGTGGTTAAAAACTGCAGAGAATAAAAACAAGTGTATGCATATTAATTTAAAAGCTTTGAAAGCTGTTTTGAAATTCGTAGACTAAAAATTTAAGGGGATTCGGAAAACTAGGATCGTACCAACCTCCCCTTGAGTTCAGTTAGGATCTTCACTATGTAGATATACTTTTTCCCACAAAACATACATATAACTGGCAGAACCAGATTCTGTTTGGTTCTGCCTTACGTAGATATGGTGGAAAAAAGTATATCGATATAGTTCAGAACTGGGACTGAACCAAAAAGGGGTTTGAATAAACCTATTCGTTCAAGTATTACGTATTTTATTCTATTGGTTACCATGATAAACGATGCTGTTGGGCACGTTCGAGTTCTACTTATAAGCAGCTTAAGAAGGCTTGGGCGGTTGGTACGATACCTTGGGTAGGGTGCCATAAGGGCCCCTAAAAAATCAACGCTTTTCGACAGATAATTTTTCAATAAATATAATTATTTCGATAAAAACCAAAGTACAAGATTAAGAAATTGCCAGAAAAGTACCGTGAAGTTATAATTTTCAAAATTGGGAGATGTTGCGAGGCAAGCTACATTAATATTTCATACTCTTCTTCTGATTTTCTCTTAACCTAAGTCGTTGACCCAATATCTTTAAAAACTTCATAAATTCTCTGTATAAAAATACACAAAAACAATTTTTAATTTTTGATCCACGTAATTACGTGGATATAAGTGCAAATAGATACTGCCTTCCAATTATGATGTATCAGTACGAAATAAAAATCAGTTTATTGATTGATATTTCTCCATTACAAAAGCATACAGCCATAACCTATAAGACTGTCATAATACGGTTAATAAAGCACTTCACTATGTTGATTTACTTGATCCACGGGCTCTTTACTTTAAATCAATAATTTTCATTCACTTAATTACGGAATAGTATACAATTCAAATTTTTAAAGTAA